GACACCAACTCCCTGAACGGCTTGGAACCGAATGCCCATCCACCCAAGGCCAGCATCACCTTTAGGAAGAACCGTCACAAGGATGAATACAGTTTACATTTGAGTCATTCAGCCCAAGAAGCGGTGGAGGCGCCAGCCTCCGTTCTATCTCAAAGAGTCACAACTTTTGCTAAATTTTACACATTACCTAATCCTTAATCTCAAGAGTTCAGTCTTGATAATATTATATACCTAACTTTGACCTAAAATTTCATTCTTGGTCTTGTGCAGACCTTCTTTAACAGTCTACTGAAGAGGTCTCATTGTGAGGGTGAAATATACATTACTTCTATTATTTTATCTATGTGAAATCGTGCTACCAACCTTATTATTTCTTCTTTGAGCCTATCTTAGGCCTCGCAGTGGGCACTTAGGCCAATATTAGACTTTGTGGTGGTCACCTAGGGCTATATCAGACATCGGCATTTTCTGACGAACTTCAGTTTTTAGCTAAAATACGTAAATTATCACACTTTTAATCGAAACTGCTCTATGATTGAATTTTAAAGGAAAAAGTAAGCCAAGTCATAGTCACGATGTCTGATATAGCATTGTGGCTATATGAGACATCGTGGCTATATGAGACATCGTGGCTATATCAGACATCGTGGCGCGTGTGTACCTTAAGAGTGGGGTTCTTCTCCTTGAGTTTGATGAGGCGGGTGTAAATTCCCTCCTTGAAGCCATCACTGACGTCAGAGGGGTCTCCCGGGGCCAGGCGGAAGTCTTCCATCCCAGCAAAGGCGTAAATAACGTGGGTGCACAGGAATGGGTCGATGCTCTCCGGTTCAAACCTACCAGCACCGGGGCGCTTGATGGCCCAAGAGGTGTAGTAGCAGAGGACCTTAGGCGAGTCTTCTGTCGTGGGAGATATATGGAGGATGGTGAGTGTGTGTGGAACAAGTGGAGAACATATTGAGAATGGTGAGTGCGTGTGGAACAAGTGGAGAACATAGTGAGGATGGTGTGTGTGGAACAAGTGGAGGATATATTGAGGGTGGTGTGTGTGTGTGTTGTGTGGAACAGCACATCATCAGGTGACACATTACTAGTTGCCATTACGCAGTGGTGGGAAGAGGAGCGACTCTCCTGAGATCGCATCCCAGAACTCAAAAAAAAAAAAAAATCAGGTGACATGATAAAGAAACACTCTCATAAATTTTCACTAATAATTGTGAGTTAGTTTTGAATGATGAGGTGTGTGAAGAACGAGTAGGTCTTGTGCACGGTACGACAACAGTGTGTGCAGAGTAATCCTTTACTTACTGGCGATATTTCGTTCTAACGGGCTTTATCGAGCGAAACTTCGAGGGTAAACAAGCATTTGTTTCCGCACACACTTGCTTCTCTTATAACATTTGCCTACAAGTCGACCATCTAACAAGAAGCCTGACTCCCGTGCTTCACTCACTCTTACGTTATAAACTTGAGTCAACTAACTTGGGATTGAAGGAATGATGTCTATCCTGGGCGCGGCCTGCTTGGCCAGGTTGGACTGGTGCTGCCTCACCAGGATCATGGGATCGATGCTGATTGGAGGCGGCAGCGTGGTGTGTGTGGCCACCGAGGTCTTGGTCACCTTAGACCAGTCCACGTCCTGGCCCACTCGTGGTACACCCATCATCTCTTCTCTATCGGCCGATGGGGACAGAAAGTAGAATGTAGATAAAAGGTACAGAGAACCGACAAGTTGATAAATTTGAAAAAATTGCAACACTTGGGTTTCTTTACTGTAGGGACGTTTCGCCACACAGTGGCTTCATCAGCCCAATGCAAAGAATGGTGAAGATCATAAGGAGTTTGAGGTAATCAGTCCCTCAGCCTGGCTGAGGGTATGGGACCCTGGGACTGGGAGAGACCGGACCTCTGGGACTTGGGAAAGACTGGACCCTGGAACCTGGGAAACCCTGGAACCTGGGAAACCCTGGACCCTGGGACTTGGTTAAGACTGGATCACGGGACCTAATCCAAACATGATTCAAAGATACTGTACCTTGGGAACCTAACTGTTACCCTCCCCTCCCACACACTGCTTCCAGTATCCCAACACTGCTACCAGCACCCCACACTGCTTCCAGCACTCCCACACTGCTTCCAGCACCCCGACACTGCTTCCAGCACTCCCCACTGCTTCCAGCACCCCAACACTGCTACCAGCACCCCGACACTGATTCCAGCACTCCCACACTGCTTTCAGCACCCCAATACTGCTACCAGCACCTCCACACTGCTTCCCGCACTCCAACACTGCTACTAGCATCCCCCACACTGCTTCCAGCACCCCAACACGGCTACCAGTATCCCCCACACTGCTTCCAGCACCCCCCACACTCACCTCATAATGCTCATGAGTGGGTACTTGACTCCTCACCACACATGGTGCCAGTAAAGTCGTCCATATCAATGGTCCAGACCATGGCTCCACCGAAGCCATTCTTCTTGATCCCCTCACTGTTGCGGA